TATGACATTTTCCTGTACTTTCAACCCCTTGGTATCCACATTCTAAACTTCTTTTGTTTATGGGGTCATAAAGTAGTAATAGCAATTGGGGCATAGTGTGTTCCTTGTCAATTGACAACATTCCTCTTGAAGACATAAGTACCTTAGTTTCTCCAGTATCATCTTCATCAAGTACAGCAGGAACAGCAGTACCTTCTTTTCAATTTAGGCTACCTTCCCCCAGACCTGATCCCACTGTGCCTGGGGAATAGGTCCCCAAAACTGTAGGCACTGTTTGCATGCCCATTGCAGTTGTAAGAACACATTCCCAGCTGCTGGCAGGCCTAATCCTGCATGCCCTATGGTTGGTGCTGGGAGAGATGAAACATTACACTGCCTACTGGGTATTTTAATAGCACAAATGTTTCTCCTCCTTGTCTCAGACAAAGCCATCTTTAGTTTCTACCCTTGTCCTGACAAATTCTGTGGGAAAGCACCCAACCCTATTCTAGAAACTCAGGGTCAAAATGCCCCAGCTATCTGTGTGTTCTTGGTTCCTGTTCAACTCCTGGCTTGTTTGCTTCTCCATGCAACTGCCAGCCAGGGTGTAGTTTTTCTGTGTTCTTTGTCTTTAAAAAAAGTCCCTGTAATATGCATTTGGGCTGTTCTGTAAGAAGAGTTTCTCCCCAGGCAGTCTCTAGTCTGCTTAATGGAGATCTCAATCCAAACTTTGGTGGTGCTGAGTGATCTTTGTGTCTTTACCCTGTAACAGCTATATCCTCTGAGTTGTTGATAGCTGCAGTTATTTCCTGGTGTCACAGGAAGATAGACAAGGGGATGTCCATCTTTATCAAACTTGTCCTCCTTTGAAAAGCCCAACAAGTGCAGAATTTGCATGTTAAAGTTAACATTAGCCTGTCTGGGAGCCACAGAGGCATTCCTATTGTACTTCTGTAGGTGTTCTGGTTTCCCACATCGAAAGCAAACAGGCTTACCTAGTCTCAGTGCTTGTCTCTAATGGACAAACACTTCGTTTTGGTCGACTGAGCAGCCACCTGTGTCTTTACTGCTTTTGTAAGGCATCCAAGAAAGCAGCAAAAGATTCTGAAAGGCTCAGGGATATTTTGAGGAAGGTCTGGGTAGGTTTCAGGCAGTTTTTGTCACCTTGACAGTACAGTCATTGGAATGTATTTTTTCCTCAGATGAAACTGTCGACAACAGGCAGTGGCTGTGACAGTGGCAGCCATGAGAGAGACACACTTACCAGCAAGAAGCGAAGGAAGGCAAATATGCAACAGTGGTCTTTCCTGGACCCCTCTATATAAGGTCTCTGCTGGAAGGTGCTGTCCACCCAGTTAATACTTCCTTGAAAAGCCTTCCCAGAGATGAGTCTTAGGTGATTCTAGATCTTACCAAGTTGACACTTAAATTTAACCACCACAGCTGGTTGTATATGGTTGGATTTTATGAATTATTTATATATCTTGAATGATAGTCGTTTGTCAGATAATGTCTTTTGCAGTCAGTTTATGGTAGAGTATTTGCTCCTTTGTTAGAGTACAATATTCAGTTTTAAGGAAGGGTAGCTTTTAATCATTTCTTTCACGTACCCTGCTTTTGGTGTTGAATCCAAAAGGTCATCACCGAAACACTTATGGTCTCCATTTCCTCCTGAGCAATCCTCTGTTTGCATTTAGGCCTGTGAGCTGCACTGGATTAACTTTTATGAAGGCTGGGCCGTGTCTTGGTTGTTTGTGTGTTCAGTCAATCCAGCACTGTCCTTTCTCCACTGTACTGGCCTTACTCCTTTGCTGAAGATCTGTGGATTGACATCTGTGGGTCTATGTCTGGGCTTTATATTCTGCTCCACTCACCTATGTCCAGTCTCTCAAATACCATGCTGCCTCAGGTAGTGTGAGTCCTCTGTCTGTCCCTCATCACTATGTCAGCGGTAGTGGGGGCTTTTGTTTCCCCACATAGATTGTAAAATCAGTCTTTTTTTCTTTGACACAGAGGTTGGACTTGCTATGTAGCCAAGGATGACCTTGAAATATTGATTCTCCTGCCTCCACCTCTGGCTTTATGTATACTTCAGAAAGCCACTCTACCTTCTGAAACAATTCTCCAGCTCCAAATCAGCCTTTTGATACTTACAAAGTAACTTGCTAGGATTCTGACAGTGCTCTATTGACTCCATATAGCAGGATGGAGACTTGTAAACTGGTTTCCAGTTCCTTGTTTAGCAGGCCAGCTAGTTCTCAACCAGGAAGTGGGAGCCTGAGAAGGAGTGGATAGGCGAGAAATGAAGGCCAATGTTGAGATATGCTGTGGCCCTAATGCTCCAGGTTTCTGTTCCATAGTTTACTCCTATGCAGTACAAGATGGAGGACTTGGGGCCCACATCCAACATGCAATGGAGGATGAAGTCAATTGGCTGACAGGAATTAGAGAGGACATCAAGGTATGGGGGCTTCAAACTCCATCCTGCTCTACACTCCTACGTTGCCTCCAGGTGATTCTGTGTTGTCTCTTGCTAAAAGTAGATTAGGACAACAGCACTGAGAATTGTGAGAAGTGTGAAGAAGTCTCTAACCAGGAAGAGAAGCACCAACTGGATTAGGTTGCCATCCACACTGGATTCCTTACACACCTGCCCCGTCTCCCAAAAGCATCTGATGTCCTTGCTCCTTTCAAGGAGCCATCAGTCAGAGGACAAAGCTGGTGTGTCTCTAGAGACCTTGGGGTTAGAGCTGCAGAATTGTGCAGCTGCATCCTGTGAACTGGAGTTGTATGTTGTAGTTGGCCATGATTGTCAAGGGCAGCTACAGGAGCTGAGGATCCCTAGGCAGGAGCAGCTCCGATGGAATGAAACCAGTAAGTGGGCCATTGGGAGGATTTCCTAGACTGAGCCTTGGGAGAAAGGTTTGTAGCACCAGCTAGGGCCTCCAGGACAGCTACCTTGGGTTCTGTCTGCAGAATCAAGTTCTGGGTCCCCAGGTGCATCCCTTCCAGCCAGTATCCACCCCCAACTGCTGTCAAGGTAGATGTTGTCTATACCTGATACATCAATCCTAGGTCAGGCACATCAAATGGGATTATGACCTGGCTTCAGGAAAATAGAGTGTCACCAAAGCCCGTGAAGACTCACTAATGATAAGACTGAAGTATGTTGTACACTAATACTGTTGTTTTGTTTGACTCTGTCTCCCAGATCTCAGCCACCACATGGTCAGGTAGGCATTCCTTCCTTTACCTTCCTGGTAAAACTGGTTTGCATGTGCTGACAGTTTGTACCTTTGCTCCCCTATTTGGCTGATGGGGGATGTCCTTTTCTATGCTGTGATTGCATTTCTCTTATTGGTTGATGAACAAAGCTGTTTTGGGCAGGCAGGATGTATCCAGGCAGGAAGTATAGGTGGGGTTCCCAGACCAGCAGGATTCTGGGAGGAGGAACACAGAGGAGAGTCATGGAGAGAAACCTTGTAGCTGACCAGGGAGCAAGAGATCTGGTTATCACTGGTAAGCCAAGACCATGTGGAGATACACAGATTAATAGAAATGGGTTAATACTTAGAGAGAGCTAGCCACTAAAAAGCCGGAGCCATCAGTCAAAGAATTATAATTAATATAAGTCTCTGTGTGCTAATTTGGGACTAAACAGTAGTAGAACCAGGCAGGACAGAAACTTCAGTCAACATTTGGCAGATGTGTCAATCCCTGACATCCTGTATCTCGGTATCTTTCTTCCCCAGGATATATGTTTATGATGGTTCAGTAGGGAGAAAACACACATGTGCACAGACACAGGCCTTTTCAGCCTCCATGTTCATGGAAAAGCATGCAATTTCCCTCCTTACACCCCTCATAATAAGCTTAGGGTTAGGAGCCACTCTTGGCAGCACGGGTTCTGTAGTGGCTGACTTTAACTTCAAAAACCTAAGATGCCAGATAACTCAGGATTTGTCTGTAGTAGAAAAACTATTGCCAGGCTAGAAAAACAGGTGGATTTATTACTCATGGTGGGTTCACCGCATGGGAGAGTGACCTACTCTATTAAGCACAAGGAGATTACTGTGTGGCTTTAGGGGAAAGTTGTTTCTATGGAAGCAATTCGGAAACATTAACAATAACTCAGTGTGCTTCAGAAAAACCCCACCTTGCAGGAAGGGAGGAGGCCTTAAAAAAACCCCAGATGGTTCCCATTGTTATTCTCAGGTCCTTCGAGCTAGTAAATGTGTTGTCAGCCACTACAGGGGCCATAGCTCTTCTGTACCTGATGATTATGGATGGCCTCTGCATCATCAATGCCGTAATCAGTTATATAAGTTCCCACTGAGGATCTATTAAGCGGATGGCCATTAATTCCCAATATGAACAGGTACCCAGCACAGAGGCAAGGATTTCACTCAGGGTATAACTCAACAGGGAGTGTGATGCTTAATGTTACATGTAAAAGTTTAAAATTACTGTGATTAAGAGAACTTCAAAGAAAAATTAGACTTCTCTATGGTAAGGACTGTTAAGGGTTAATTTCTGTAATTACTTGGTCTTGTACAATTTAAACAAAACTCTTAATTATGAAAGATAGTAGATATTAAGGCCAACCTCGGATTCTGCTTCTGTAAAGAAAAACTTATTTTTCTGGAGAGAGGAGTGGGAGAGAAGAGAGGGAAAGGAGGGAGGGAAATGGAGAAAGGGAGAGAGAAAGAGATGAGAGAAGAGGAAGGGGAGAGGGAGAAAGATTAGAATATTCTAAAACAAAAGTCAGGAGAGAAGGGCTTGGGGAGGGTTGATAGAGTAGGAAGGAACCTATGCTGAAGACGATGGGGGTGGGTTTGGGGGACCACGGTGAAGGCAGACTAGAGCGTGAGAGCAGAGGGAGGCATCCGCAATCCTTGGGATCTGAGGTGTGGGTGAGGTACTGCCTGTGTCCTGGGGATACCTGGCTGAGGACGCCTGTTTCCTGTAGACACACCTGGGCAAATCAGGAGTCTGCCAGCTGTCTTCCCCACCCACAGGTAGTCAGTACTGGGTTTCCTCTCTTCTGGAGGTTGGTGCTGCTGTGTGCCTGAGGTCTCAGCTGTGCCTCACGACTTGCTGCTCAGAACCTGAACCACCCAGGGTCCTGCCATGGACCTCCGAGGTGAGCTGAGGGGTGACAAAGGGGGCTGTGGGTACCCTCAGTTGATTGCTCACTGTCTGGTTGGGGCTTCATTGCTGCTGGGACTTGGAGCTCAGAGGTGGCAGGGCCAGTTCTGCTGGGCTGTCAGGAACCCTGGGATGCCCGGATCTGTATGGCAGTGCATGTGTACTGGTGAGGGGAGGGTAAGTGGGGCCCAGGTCTAGGTCACATTGGAAAGTTCTGATCTGACCAGGCGAGGTTCTATGGGAAGACATCGAGTGCTAGGGACCTGTCTGTCTCTTTATGGGGCATCCTCTTCTGCACCTGCCTAGACATCCCAAAGGTAGAAGCCAGAGGCCATGAAGCCGGCCTTCCAGGAGCACAGAGGAGTCCATGTGAAGCCGAGGGGAGGACTCTCCAGCTGGCTGAGTGGCCAGTAATCCTGCATGGCTGGAGAAGGGCTGGAGAAGAGGTGATGGAAGGAAGTGTGGGGCCGGCTCCCCAGCCCTCTCCTGGTCGAGCTAGGGTTAATTTTATAGATATGAATGTTGGGGTTGCACAAAGAAACACAGGGACAACGCAAAATCAATCCAGGAAGGGAGTTTCTTTTTGTAAAAGCGTGTGCTGTGTGTGATGAAGGAAGTGGGAACACAGAGCACACGTGGTTTCCATTTCGTGCATGTGTGACTGTGTCTCACCCCGTCGGTGGGAGCAGGATCTTACAACCTGATGCCACTGGCTCATTACTAATCAGAACAAAGGGTAATGGTGTGATAGGATCCTTGGACATGTACACCAGAATTTTACAAGCTGGTTATAGAGTTTAGCTCTTGATGGGCTACACCTTAAATAGGAAAACTTATTTTCAATACCTCCTCCCTGTGGTAAAACCATATAACAAAATTACTAACTAACCGGTTTTTTCCCCCATAACAAAAAAGATAGTTTTCCTATTGATTTTTCTATATGATGTGTACATGTGGGCGTGTGGGCAAGTGTGTGTGTGTGTGTGTGTGCGTGCGTATGCATGTGTGGTGATCACAGGACAACTCTGTGGAGATGCTTGTCTTCTACCTCCTGGGTTGCGGAGTTCAAACTCTGGTTGTCAAGCTTATGCAGAAAGTCTCTTCCTACTGAGCATGTTACTAGACAATCTTAGTATTTATAAGTGCAAAGCTCAGTGTCTTTAAACACATTCACACTAAGGCCAAGGAGGAAGCTCAGTGCTGCCTGCCATGACCCACTCCAAGGTATCAGGAAAAGAGAGACAAGACACCCATTTGTTTGTACTAAGAGAATGCATGTGCTGCCTTTATTGCCAGGAGCGTGTGTATGTGTGTGTCTTCATTGCAAGTGCTAAGAGGTCTCCCTTGTAGGAGGGAGGAGCTTTACATACAGGTTTACAGCACTCCAGGTAGAAGAGAGCCTGTTTTCCTCCTGCTAGATGTTGATGTCAGAGGGTCAATGCCAGGGCAGTAAGCCAGGACTAGAAAACAGAAAGCACTTGGACTGGAAAACAAATTGCATTTGTAGGCTGACCAGCAACTCACAGAGACCCCATGGGGTTGGGGCCCAACAGGGCACTGAAGCCCAACAAGTGCCCTGTGCAGTGTAGGTGCTGCAGGTCTGCCATACTTTCATGGCAGGACCCAGGATGGTTCAGTTTCTGGGATGCAAGCTGGGATGTGGGTGAAGCTGGGTGAGAAAACAAGTTGTGCTTGGAGCTGTAGCCCAGGGGTCAGGCACTCTGGGGGGAAGGACGCCCCAGGAGAGCACTGAGGATACTGTGGGGCAGGGGAGCAAAGATGATGCAATGCAGTGACCAGAGCAGCAACACCAGGGGTGTGTGGAGGGCTGGAAGCCCAAGGGAGATGGTTGTTACTTCATCAGGCCAGCCATGGCCAGGGGGTAAGTCAAGGCTGTCCAGGTGCAAAGGAAGCTGGTTAGAGGCAGGGGGCGGGATGAGCAGATGGGAAAAAGGCTGGGGCTCCTGACCTGGACACATTTTTCTAGGTTTTCTACAAAGGCAAGGCCAGGCACAGATTGGGGTGGGGTCAGGAGGGTGTTGGAAGAAATGCCTCCATTTGTTGTCACAGAGTTTAGTTGACTTCCTGCAGTAATTTAATCCTATTCAACGCTGACATGTCTTATTGCTCTGGGTCCCCACCCATCACTTCCTAGTGCTTTAATATACCTACATGCCTGCACCTTTACCTAGTTTACTCATCCTGCTGCAGGCAAAGCGAAAATGAGCACAGTCAAGATGTAAAAGGGACAAACTCATTGCCCACAGCAGCAATGGAAGAATGGGAGGCATTCACAGAGCAGTGCTCTACCTGAATAAACTGAGCTTTCAGTAAGGGTGCCTGTGCACAGTCGTGTAGGGACTGGCCGGTTCCTGAGAATAAGTACACATGCTGACACAGACCATTGTTTACTTGGCGTTATGCTTAAATGCACAGCATTTGAGTTGTATTTTAATGATAATCTCCACAATGTTACCACCCCCAACCTCAAGAGATGGTCCTGCAATAGGTCCAAATTCCATCCTGAGAGTGGGTGATGGGGCAACCCACTCATATCCCACTTCATAGTATTCCAATGAATGAAGCACTGTGTGATAAGAGTGAATACATTGCATTGTGAGTTCCTAATGTAACATGCAGTTTTCTCCATTCCCCAATTCGGTGTGATTCCCAGTCTATCACCTCCCTTTTAGCTATGTGTTTTATTACAAGGATGCTTGCTGGCACACCCAGACTATCTTAAAAGGTTACTGTGGGGTCCCATTGCCTATGACCTTCAGCACAAGAAGGTCTATTTGGAGTATAAATGATATTGGTGAGGATCCCAGACTCAGATTTCCAAGCTGTTATAAATTTTAGCATGGCCTTTGGATCTTTCTTTGGTACCCAGGCCAGCTAGGTCTGTTATCCTGGATGATAACAAAATAATTTAGTAACAGCAACACATAGTGGGTGGAGGGGAATTGCAACCAATGTAGTTGTAAGGAAACCATGGGCACCTTGGGAAGTAAGGTTTAGGTAGATATCCAGTATTATTTAATAACACATTTGAGAAGCATCAAACCAATGACAGGATGAATGATAGTATGCTGAGGAATACGTGCCCAGTGAGTCTGCCCATTAGCAGAACCCACTGAAGGTCTGATGATGAAGACCCCACAATGAACAGATTTGCAGGGGAAAAGGCTGGCCTAGATCTCTTAATTCCTGCACCCCTTTATCAGATGTCTCTTCTTCTTGCACCCACGTCAGGGGTAGAACCCTCAGGCAAAGACCTTTTAAAGCTTCCATAGGAGGCTTTGCTGGACCAGGGTTGGATTTTTTTTGGACCACAAAGAGTGTTTCATTTATGAGTTAACCGCCATACTACCCACCCCAACTAGGAAGGTCTTGAGGGCCTTTCCTGTGGATCTTGCTGGAAAGCCTGTAGGTGAGGGTCAGAATGAGAGGAGGATCCTGAACAGTGCCTTTACAGAAGAATATGCATCATCACCTATTGAAAGATATAAAATGTTATTACTGCTAGGGATAATAAATCAATGGGTTTGGCACTACTCCCTCTCTTTTTCTGAAGTAGTAGTTTTAATAGTTTTTTTTTTTTTTTGCCGGCTCAGCAATAGCTTGTCCTGCAGGATCACAAGGAATGTCAGCTTTGTGGAGAACACCCCTAAAGGAATTAATATTTAGAAAGATGTGAGGTATATACAGGCTAGCCATTTGTTTTGATCATGTGAGAAAATCCTAGAACATCAAATGTAGCAAGACACAGTGACCCAACATTCACAGAGCTATAGCCCAGGAAAATAAAAAGTGTGAGGACCTCAGGCAGAGGGTAGGAGGAAGGCAGCATCTGAACAATGAAAGAGGAATGCTATGGGAATTGTAGAATCTTATCACTGGGTAATAATAACTGTTCTGTAAAAGGGGATAATTGTGTTTGTTATGGGAGACCAAAAGCATACAAAGAAGTAAATTAGGAGGCTTCTAAAGGACAATAGAATGGTTTCCATAATGAATTGTCCATTTACATCTCTTTCCTATAAGATATGAAATTGAGTTAATGTATGTGTGTAACAGACCTTTGGGGTTAAGATGCCAAATGTGTCCCTTTATGATGCTAAGGGCAGGAGTCGATTGTGCCAGAATGCCTACAGGTAGTGAATGAAAATGAGGTCACGATTGCTCATAGGTGTGGCTGAGGAGAAAGTTCTCGCTATAGATATGAAGAGTTCAGCCAGAGGCATCTGGAAGAGTCCAGACTGAATGTGGCCAGCAGAATAGAGCAGGTCATGTTAAGAGAGAGAGAGTGATGGGGAGAGTGAGAGAGGAAGAGGAGAGAGACGGAAGAGGAGAGAGGGAGAAATAGAGAGATCTAGAAGTGGAGACGTGAGAGAACCAAGAGAGAGCATAGCCAAAACAGCTGAGTGACACAGGGAAGAGAAGCTGGGGGAGGGTGGGGAGTGAAGATCAGGCTGGAGTTTGGGGTCTGAAGTGGAGGTGAGAAGTGCTGAGAGGAGCCTGGACTCTGCAACAGGTTCTTGCAGTGCTGAGAGAGATGATGGACAGAGTCTGCTCTGATATGTTCATAAGCATCCCAGTTAGCCATTTGTCTAGTTTACCCATGGAACAGTTTAATAACTAATAGAGCATCTCTGTGTATTCATTTGGGGCTGAAGAAGCAGGACCTGGTGGGACAAGAAAACTCCAGTTACACCGGAGGGCACAGAGTGTAGTCAGTATTTCCTGCAGTGTGGAGGGTAAAGAGGGGAAATGAAATAGAGTAAAGACTGACAACAGAGTCTGGAAAAGTTCAGAGTCTAAGAGCCACACAGAGGGCTTGTAGCAGACAGAAGAGAAGGCAGGGACATGTTTCAGGTACCAGGGTTATTGTTGGATGATAAAGTGCACTACCAATGAGAGTTTTTTGGGTGGAGAAAGCATTTCCATCTCCAGTGAAGACTAGTGAGCCAAAGTCAAGAGACAGGGTGTGAAGAA